TGTAAACTCTTTGATATTATTGATGCCAGATTTCTCTTTACTGTAAATAGAGACTTGCTACTTCTGAAACAATGACTTTTCTTTGCTTCTACTACCGCTAGCCAAAATTAATAAACTTTGGTCTCCATGCCTTTGACTATTCTTCTATTTTCGTATAAGTGAGATGCTATAGTATTTGTGATTGACTTATTTCTTCAGCATATTTTTCAGGGTCCATCTCTATAGTGGCATGTATCAGGGCATTATGTCTATTTATGGCCAAATAGGCTCCCAATTTAATGATCCTTTCCACTCCAGTATTTTGTCTCTAACACAGTTACCATCATCAGTTTCTTTCACAGTAATATACAGATCTTACTTCCTGTGTTCTGAGTCTTTTGCTATAGGAAGTTTGAGAAACTCTGAGATAAAGATTTAAGTGCACAATGGAGGCAGACTTTGTATAACAGCGATTTAAACAAAACAGTGGGATATTTCTGTTGCAATTCAGAGATATCAGAAATATTCAGCAAACTATCAGAATTGCTATAGCAGCTTTGTACCAGTATCCTAAGACTATAGGATGTTTATATTTTATTGCTTCATCATCTCCAGTTTTTGCTTATACGGCCCCCGTTGACTTGCTACTACTACACTTACATTCTAGACAGGAAAGGTGAAGTAAGGATTGAAAGAAAATAATATCCCTCCTTCTCTTTGTAAGCATGTCAGAGTTGCTGAGGATGGTACAAGACAGGATGAAGCTGTATTCTGTTATTCATAGGGTCACTATGAATCGTGACTCAATAACACTTAACAACAAAAACTTTGTGAACAAACGGGTGGGAATTTGCATACATAATTCTGACCAAATCCCATCATCCAAAACTAATTATGTCATTTACTAGGTGGAAGAGAGTCTCAGAATTATTTTTTTTTTAAATGAATGCCAACCTAAAACTGAGGGATTTCCTACTACAGAGAACAAGGAGATTTTTTGGGGAAAATTCAGAGGTTAGCTCTTTTCCTTAACCATTCTAAATTGGCAAAAATAAAAAAAAAGTCTCTCTAGACTCTTCTCTTCAAGTTAAATGTAAATATTTCCTTTTTTAGCTATAAGAAAAAAGTGAATGTTGTAACCTTTTTATTAGCAATAATCCTGTCACAGTTAAATCTTAAAACCTTAGATTGGGTGCTGCTCAATAAAACTCAAACTGTTAGAGTCATCTTAAAATTTGGAGAAGTAACCTAGTTTCCCTAGAAACTTGGATAGGTTTCAAGTGCTCTATAAGGCCTGTGCAATTACATCTTAAATTCTTCACGTATGTGCCTTTACTTGGTTAGACTACTTACATTTAAAGTCTGACCACTTTAGTTGTGCATCTTTAGGCAATTTATTTTACCTGTCTGTCCCTCAGGTATGGGGCGACTCTATTGTAGAATCCATAACAAGTTGCACTGCAAACTCAAACAAGTGCTCTGACCCTTCAAATCCACCAGCTCCACCACAAGAGAAAGATGAGTATTCTTCTCCAAAGTTATAACTCTGATGGGAATGAGTTTGAGTTTTCTACCTTAGTTTTATGAGCCCAGATGACATAGTATGCTAGGAATTAGGCTGCTAACTCAAAGGTTATCAGTATGAAACCACCAGCAACTGCTTGGAAGAAAGATGGACAATCTCCTCTTGTAAATATTTACAGTCTCTGGAACACTGTGGAATGTTGCAATGAATTAGAATTCTCTTGAAGGAAGTGAGTTTTGGTTTGGTACCTCAGTTAAGGATCCCTAGTAAGGATTCCAGATGGCTCCTAACTGGAAGTTTGGCAGTTCAAATTTTCCAGCAGCTCTGAGGGGGGGGGGGGAGGAATACTTGATAATTTTCTCTCATAAAGATTACAGTTTAGGAAACCACATAAGTCAGTTAGTTTTACTCCTTTGTATACAGTTGCTGAATTAGATGTTACTTCCTGACATGTAACAGCAATGTACTTCAGTATCCCTATATTGTTATGTACCATCGAGTTGACTACAACTCATAGCGACCCTCATATGCACAACAGCTCTCAATCTTGCTCTATGCTGAGCCAATCTCAGTCTCTGACACACCTACCCTTACTACCCTAATTATTGTGTTAACGCGTGTCATCGGTGTCTTCCTCACCTATGCTGTCCGTCAACCTTGTGGTGCTTGAGAAGAGTAGTGAACATACCATGAACGGCCAAGAAAACTAACAGGTCTGTCTTGGAGACGGTAAAACCAAGCTTCCATAGAGGGTGAAGCCAAGCTTCTCCTTGAAGGCAAGGATTTTGAGACTCCATCTCACGTACTTGGACGTGTACCCCAAAGAATAGGAGGGATCAGAGAAGGATTCCCTATATTAAACATGAGTATGCCAGGAGGGACGGGTCCTTGGAGAGGGACATCATGCTTGGGAGGATGGAGGGACAGCGCAGGAGGGGAAGACCCTCCATGAGATGGATTGATTCAGTGACTGGGGTAATCGGGATGGGTGTGTCAGAGGCGGTACGGTTGGCGCAGGATAGAGCAGGGTTTAGGGCTGTTTTGCATAGGGTCCCTATGAGTCGGAAACGACTCGACGGCACATAGCAACAACAACAACATAATAGTAGCACATAAATGTTATAGGATTTCTGTGGAATTTAAAAGTAATTGATTTATATAGAAAAGCAATTCTAATAGTGTCTCACACATACTAACCAACAAACCAGACCCATTGCTGTTGAGTCAATTCTGACTCATAGAGACTTTTCAGGTTTCCCAGGTTGGAAATCTTTAGAGGAGGACACTGCCCAAGCTGAAGAGCTGATGCATTTGAACGGTTGGCCTTTCATTTAATACCACTAGCGCTCCATAGCTCCTTTACACATGTTAAGTGCCATCTAAATACATAAGCACCACTTTTTAAAAATATTCTTGATTATGATGCATAGTTACCATCTCATTTCTGTGGAATCTTTAATTTTCCCCTCAAATAGCTTAAATAGCTATTTTAAATATAAATATCTGATAGAAATCTCTTTCCCAGACTCTTTTCCACATAAAATTTACATTTTCTCTCTTTTATTCAAAAGCTTCCTGATCTTTCATAGGATTGAGGCATATTTATTGGAATGTAGGCCTGTGATTGTGTGGGTCATAACAGATTATAGCTTATGTTGAAAAGAATGGTAATTCCAGAACACATACTTGTGCTCACACAAAACCTATACTTAGACCAAGAAGCTGTGGCACAAACATGACAAGGGAGCACTTCACGGTTTAAAATCAGGCAAAGTGTGTTTCAGGGCTGTATCCTTTCTCCATACTCATTTAATCTGTACACAGAACAAATTATTCAAGAAGCTGGACTTTTAAGAAGAAGAATGGAACATCAGGACTTGAGGAAGACTCGTATGTGTTATTCAGATAACGTTTCTTGCTTAAAGTGAGGAAGATTTAAAACATTTACTTCAGAGGATCGAAGACTATAGCCTTCAATATGGGTTACATTTCAACATCAAGAAAATAAAAATCCTTCCTACTGGGCCAATAGGCAACATCATAATACATTGAGAATACAGAAATTGTAAATAAACTTATCTATGAAATAAAAACACTTATTGCACTGGAAAAGTCTGCTGTCAAGGACCTTTCCAAAATGTTAAAAAGCAAAATGTCAATTTGAAGACTGAGGGGCAATTGATGCAACCATGATCTTTTTAATTACTTGTCTGAAAGTTAGACAGTGAATAAGGATGACTAAGAAAAATCTATGCCATTTAATTGTGGTGTAAAGAAGAGTGCCATATACCCATGAACTGTCAAAAGAACAAACAAGTTGTCACAGAAAAGGGTGAGTCAGGTTGCTTCTTTGAGACAATGATAGTGAAATATTGTCTCACATACTTTGGGCCTATTGATAGGAGGGGCCATTCCTTGGGAAAAGACATCATATGTTGAAAGAGAATCAGCAAAGGAGGAAAACACTCTCAACAAAGTCTATTGATACAGTGACTATGACCCTGAGCTGAAATCCCTTATTGAGAAAGTTGCTATGAGTCATTGTCAACTTGACAGCACTTAATTTGAACCTCAGAAATACTTTGTTTTAGTAGATGCTGTAAACAATTTAAAAAAATACTTTGTTTTGAAGTTTTCTTATTTCAAGTTTTTAGTTCTATCTTGCTTTTTAATCCAATGGAAAGTTTGTGTTTACCTTAATTATCTTTGAATTTTAATAATCTTGATAAAATGTAAAATCTTATTATTCAGACTTTAATTCAAAGTAGAAATTTGGTTTGTTTTCTTTTTTGAAAGCCCTGTGTGATTAATAGTGCTGTACAATTGGCTTGAGCAAGTTGAACATGTAACTCTGTAAATAAGTTGAGCACTCCATATGGCATTAAGTAATGGATTTTGGTTTTTGTTTTTGTTACTTGGATCATAAATGCAACTGCAACAATTGAATCACAGTTTAAAATATTACAGACTCTCAATATAATGATAAAATAAGAGCCAGTGCAGCTGTTCTTTTTCTGAAAAGTGAACATAGTGGCTAAAAATAAATTTGCTATTTTAGCATTGTTAGGAATGAATTAATGTTATTATGTGATAAAGTGCCAAACGTCATTTTTAAAAGTAATTTTTCTAGAATGTTGGGTCAGCAATAAAATTCCGTAGATGCTAGTGTTTCCATATATCACCTCGAGTTGCCCTGAGCATGCATATATTCATTTTCAATTATTTTTTTAAATCGTTGGGGAATCCTTTGGCAGATTGGTTGGTATCAGAACCTGGGGCTTAAACCTAAAACAGCTGCTGTTGAGCAAACATCATCTCCATAGTATTAAAATGTTCTGTTAACAGATTGGAATGAACTGTTAAACATCACCACTCCCATGTCTAACTACTGTTTGACTCTCTCAGTGACTGATTGACTTTCTCAACAAACTATTTACTTTAACTGAAAGAGGAAAAATTACATTTAAATAATCTCTGTTTCTTCTCCCATCTCCAGAATATGGTCAAGAAAAGTGGGGATTTCCAATGTGCCACTATCTGAAGGAAGAGAGATGGTGCTGTAGTCGCAATGCCAGAATGTCAGCATGTTTGGTATGGTTATATTTTTCTTTTCTTGGACCAAGGACATTATCCAGATGTTGCCGAATATATTATTTTTCGCAAATTTCATGCACTAAATGCCAAATTTTGAATATCATCACAAATGCTTTTGTACATTACAGAAATAAAAGGAAAATTACCTTCCCTTCCAATATTAACTCTTCTATATCAGTGTAGTAACAGTTTACATTCAGACACACAAATATTTCCCTGATGATTGCATGAAATACATCAACTACCATGTCTCTTTTTTGTTTATTTAGCAAACAGAAATTTATTCTCTTTCCATTTAGGATACCAGGAACCATCTCAAGGTTATAACAACCAACTGCTAAGGCTTAAATTCATAAATAGTTCTGTGCATACTTTATCACTAAATCTCCATTAATGTGTTTAAAGTAGATCATTTACATCCTGATTTTTTCTAGACTAGAAAAAAATATTTTTCATAACCTTGAAACTAGAAGAACTTATATAGTGCCCCTCTATCACCTCTAATAACATTAGAAGATTTTGAGTAATGTTAGGAATAATCTTGAACAAAACTCCAAAACATTAAAAAAAAGAAAAGGAAGCCAGGCTTACGGGTCCATAAGAGATCGGTGTTACCCGCCCCCTCCCAAAGCTATATAGCATTTAGTCACCTTTCACACCTGGGACAAAACTTACTTCCATGACTCAGCTTTTAACTGACAATAGATAGGCCTGTAAGGTGACCAGTAATACAAATGAGATACTCATTCCTAGAATAAGCAACCATATAAGGTCAAAGGAGCAGCAGATGAGAATTGCAGAGAAGAAATGGGGAAAGCTCAGTTATATTAAAGATTTTATACTTAATGTTATGAAACATTATGTATAGATGAAAAGCAAATGGATTTATAAATTTACACTAAAATCCAAATAATAAAAAATTTAAACAAAGTGAAAAAAATATATATATATGATTTTTTTGTTACACACCAACTATCCATTTAGTGAAACTTCTGTTGCACCTTGTTTTAATATATCATCTGTGCACCTAGATTTCAGCCCATTATATTCTCTGTTCATGTTGTTTTACAAAAGGAGAAGTTTAAGTTAAATAGTGTAAATAGCCCTGTCATCAGAAATGTAAAATATTGTTGTTCAGAAGATGTTTAATAGCCAACCACAAGTAAATTAATTTTTTAATAATTCTTTAATTGCATAGTAGTAAAATAAATAGTATGCCAATTTTATGGGCTCTGTGTCCTTGTAGAAAAAAATGTCTGTGCTCTAATAATAATTTTCTTGTGTAGTTCCACTTAGAATACTTGGGAGGAAATATTGATTGTGCTCTCATTTTTATGTATAAATGATAGCTATTGGTTGTCCTGCTGAATGGCAGACAAGTCATTATGAAGATGAATTGACTTCTGGGATACTAGCAGCCAGTCTTTTACTCTGAGACAAAGTCTGAACAGTCATTTAAAGAATCTGTGTCACTTAAGGGAAATGACTTCAAGAACTGACGACAGGAATTTCAGTATGATACCAAACAGACCTATTCTCTAGAGTAAGGCCTGTAACTTATAGTCCTCATTCAGAAGCATATTGTTTCTAGTGAGGTTTATGGTGCCTTCATTTTAAATATCAATAGACAGCCATAACTACATATGAGAGTAAAATCTCACATGAAAGAGTAAAAAAACAAAATACAAACCCACTACTGCTGCATTAACGCTAACTCGTAGAGAGAGACCCTCTATTGGTTTTCAGAGGCTGTCACTCTTCACAGGAAGAGATACCATTATATTTCTCTTACTCGTGGATTTGAACTATGAGCCTTCTTTTGGTTAGCAACCCATCAGGACTCTTTAACATGAAAAAAATAGAGATTAGATAAAGAGCACAAGCAAAGTAACTTGGAGGGTGAAGATTATCTAAAATAATATATTACATGAAGTAACTCTTGATATACCTTTGAAAGCTGAAGCTGTGTAGTATATTCATAAAATAGGACTGTTTACTATGGTATAAATAGGGGGAAATGAGATAAGGAGGCACAAGGGCATGAGCTTCTCTCTGAAAGGGCTAGAGGGAGTAAGAATAGCACAGCCTCTCACTGTCCGGGAGCAAAAAGTATGTAAAGATCCCATAGCTCAGTCCCCTGATGTCTCTAGATCCCCAGAAGCAAAGGTTCTTTTATTCATTGCTGACTCACAAGACTCACAGTTATGGTACCAACAGTGGACTTTATTAGATAAGTGGGTGGAGGAGGTAAAGAATATCTCACAAGTCCAGGCGTTAGCCCAACAGTTCCAAGGCAGTTCTGGTTTAAGTTCAATAGTCAAATCTAAATCATCTAGCAAGATTTGCCTCAGAGCAGTTATAAGTGAACACCTCCATCAAACATCCAGCAAGAACTGCAAAACCTCTGTGGCCAGCACAAATGCAAGAAGCCTCAGGTCACACCTTGCCACCATTTTCCCATAGCAATGCTGCAGTCTCTCCACCATAAGGTTCTCAGTCTCACCATGGTTTTGTCCTTGCTCATCTCAAGTCTTGCTGCCCATAGGGGAAGCACTCTTTCTCTTATCCTAGTTCCACAGCTGTTGGTGATTTGCAAGACCATGTGTCTGCAGTTAAGATAACTAGAGACCAGAGGGGGCTAATAGCTAAACAAAAGCTTACTTTGAGCCCAACACCACAATTATATATATAAAAATTAAAAAATAAACAAAAAAGAGGTTTTGAAAAAGAAATTCCATAGATAGGGAATTTGCAGACCATGCCATATGCTTTCTAACTTCCCATGAAATATCCCTTTTGTTAGTTCTGTCCCAGTCCCTGACAACCTTGAATCTTCTTTTTTTTTTAAAAAAAAAAAAAAAAGAAAAACTTTGGTTGCATAGTGTTTTATATGTTGCATTGCTGAAGAAAAGGTCAGCAATCTGGATCTGCCAGCCACTGCATGGTAGAACAGTGAGCGGTCTCTCCTCCTGTAAGGAAATATAGCCTTGGGAACCCAATGGAAGTTTGCTGTGATTTGGAATTGACTTGATAGCAGTGAGTTTGATTGATTTGGATAGTGATTTTTTTTTATCGGTTTGCTTACAAAGTTTGTATTCGTTATGTTTCACACTGTTCTACACATTTTTTTTGTACATTCTCATGCATTATATTTTGTAATATTAATCACCGTTGGACCTTGCCCATCATTATGCTGTCTTTTCACCCAAATCCTTCCCGCCTCCCTCCATCCAACATATTGTATATCCCTGTGTTTTCACCCCTACCTATCCTCACCCCTCTGCTCACCCTCCTCCCCCCTTCTTGAGTTCCCATACATGTTTTACTAGTTATTGGGTAGTGAACTCAGGGAACCTTTGTAGCATAGTTAAAAATCCTTGACTTCTAGCCAAAAGGTTGAATGAACACCATAGGGAAAAGATGTGACAGCTGACTTACAGCCTTAGAAACACTATGAGGCAATTCTGTTCAGTCCTGTAGGTTTCTGGAGGTCAGAATCAACCCAACAGCAATATGTTCTGTAATGTCTTTTGCTGAACTACTGATCTTTTCCACAAATATTTAAAGTGTAAAAAGTAAGTAAATAAAATCTCTAGTGTTGCTTTAACATAGATTATTAAGGGAACTAACCAGAAGTAAAATTATTAAATACAGTCTGTTCTGTGTGGCTTATAAAAAAGCTTCCTGACACATACTCATTGTCTTTTAATACGTAATTCAACTTCATCTTTTGTAGTTCCATAAGTAAGCTCCTAAGTCACACATACTAAAAAGCAGGAATATTTTTGTTTATAGAAAATAATTTGTTCAAAATATTTTGTATTGTATTAAACCTAGCCGTTTAGCCAAAGCAGTAACTAAAAATTTTCTGAAATTGGTATAACCAGTGCTAAAAATAAAAAACTCATTGTTGTCTCCAATAATAAATCTATTCTAAACTTTTTATTATAAAATTATAGAATACTTATCTTCTAAATAGCAATTTGGCTCAACATAATAAAGTGAGAAAATTATTGATTTTCCTAAAAAAAGATAACTTGTATTACAAATTTCCATGTTATGAACTTTCCCCCCACTCACTATACATGATTTAAGGCATGAAAAATAAAAGTTCAGAGAGTAATTTTTTAATTCCTGCATGTCAACTAGGAATAAGTCTTGAAACAACTTTTGTCTTGTCACTAATCTTATACATCTACAAAAAATGTGCTTTTACATATATGCATAGCATGTATAAATATCATGCACATAATACACATGGCACATTTGGGAATTAAAATGCAATGGTGTTGCATGATGTTTAAAAAGAAAAAGCTATGTGGGTCCTGATTTGCATAAAGTACTATAACCTGTAAATAATTCTTTTCTTTTAAAACTATATGAATCAACTGTCTCTAAATGATTGTTTTTAATGAAAATAAAGAACACTGAAGCAAATATGTTTCTTTTCAACTACTTTTTTGTCAGTTTTGAGGATTTCCTGATTGTTGTTATGTGCAGTTGATTTGGAACCGACTTGTGCCTTGCCCTGCAACAGGTTTTCAGAAGCTATAAATAGTACAGGAGGAAATTGTCCTTTGTTCTCCCTAGGAGCAACTCATGGATTTGAGCCGTGTGCCTTTGGAATTTCAGTACAAACTAGGCTTCTAGAGCTCCCTATTTCCTAATTATAAATTGAAAAGAAAATTTATGCCAAAATTTATAATCTGATTTTCATTATAAAGCTATATAATCTCTCCTCCTGAAAACAAAACAAAATCAAATCACTGAAACCTACTGCAGCTCATTGTGAATTTACAGGACATAGTAGAAATGTAGAATTTCAGAATCATCTCAGGAACAGGTTTGAGGCCTTGAACACTAATGAGCGAAGACCAGATGAGTTGTGGGAGGATGTCAAAGATATC